TCCCAGTTTTTCACAAAATTGATGTTATGATATTGTACCTTCTTTTATGATTAAAAAGTCATTTAAATCGAGGAAGGGTATGTATTCATTAATTTGTCTTTAAGAAACAAACATGTGTTAAATCATCAATCGGGGCCATTTCAAGTATAGCCGACTATATGGTATGGGTTTTTCTCATTGTTGAAGGCCTTACGGTTGCCTATAATTGCTAACATCCACTTCATTTGAACTTTGGTGGATAGTTGTCTCATTGGCAATCATACCACATCTCCTTATTTTTATATACAAACACCTTTCAGAAAGATTGGTTTTCCATTATCTTGAAAAGAGATATATTTACTGTAGAATACTGTGTAATATTTTTATATATAGAATTTGACAGGTACAGAACATGTATAAAGCCTATATCATCTATCATATTTCATTAAAACTGCTCAAGAAATTTCTTAATTCTTGTCTGACAATGTTAACAAAATCTATAAGTATTGATTTTTTGGCATATATTTCAGTTTTTTTTACTTTTTTTCTATTTCAAACTGTTCCCTCTGTTCTAACAGGTAATGAAGCAATATTTTCCTCAATCATTGCAAGCAGCTGTAGTTTCGTTTTGATTTCGTCTTTACAAAGTTCGTTTTCTTCTAATATAGATATTGGAAATTTTTTATATTTTTAACGGACTCGGATATTTCCTAACCTTAATGAAATCATTTATGATGCTATATAGATATAAGAAGATGTGGTATGAGTGCCAATGAGACAACTCTCCATCCAAGTCAAATTTATAAAAGTAAACCATTATAGGTCAAAGTACGGTCTTCAACACGGAGCCTTGGCTCACACCGAACAGCAAGCTATAAAGGGCCCCATAAAATTACTAGTGTAAAACCATTCAAACAGGAAAACCAACAGTCTAATCTATATAAAAAACGAGAAATGAGAAACACTTATGAACCACATCAACAAACGATAACAACTGAACATCAGATTCCTGACTTAGGACAGGTGCAAACAATTGCAGCAGGTTTAAACGTTTTAATGGTACCAAACCTTCACCCTGATCTGAAACAATAGTGTAACATCACAACATAGAAAGACACACCCATGTTTATGTGCGAAGGACGTGAACTTTGATATTTTTTGTGAAAATTGCAGCGTTGGATCTAAACCTATTATATTTCTCTCATTTATTGGATAATATCTCTTCTCGTTTTGTATATAAATTATGCCGTTGTTTTTTTCATTTGAATTGTTTTACACTAGTCACTTTTGGTATCTTTATAGCTTACTTTTCAGCGTTGAAGGTCGTCCTGTAACCTATGATTGCTTACTTTACTAGATTGTGTCTAGGATGGAGAGATGTCTCATTTGGCACTCAAACCTCATCTTCTTATTTCTATATACAAAGCACGTTTTAGAAAAACTTAAATGGGCAACATGGCACCCACTATGATCCGGAGGATTTAAGTGATTGAAGATATTGCACATAAGTCAATACGACAGCAGCCGAACGATAAAAATACCTCTTAGGTATATTTTGGGATTAAATTAGCAACAGACTTACTTCATCGATGGACAAAAGTATACAAAATATGTTAAGCTATTGACCATCCACGCTTTTTATAACACAATTTTTTGAGAATACTGAATTTTATGATGTACGTTCTTACTTTTAGATCAGGTCCTGATAAAAAGTTTACACATCCAGTGCAGATAAGTCTGCGTCCTTCATTACATCCATATTGCCGGGCAGCCTGAAACGCCACAACAGGAACATGCTTGAAATTAAGCAGTGTTTCAGTGCCATGTTCTTTGTGTTTTTCGAAGCAGCAATGTTTTTGGAATAGCATTATACAGGTTTAAAAGAGCTCAAATGATTTTTATACTGGACAGTGGTCACAAAAATGAAAATTTCAGTTTCACGCTGTGAAATTAATGCACAGGTACAGTGCATAACAATAGACAAAACTTGTTCAACTTCTTTTTATACAAGGTGAAAAAGAAAGTGGAATCATGAAGCCAGTAAACAATATTTTTTTAATCTGAGCACGCAAATTTAAGATTATGTTATATATTTCACATTAATCACAAAAACATTTATTATGAGAGTCCCAGACAAACTGTTATAGTACTTGAAAAACTGACCAAAACATAAAAACTTGAACCATGAAAATGAGGTTAAGGTCAGATGAAACCTGCCAGACTGCCATGCACCCCTTACAATCATTCCATACACCACATAAAGTTGACCTACTGCTTATAGTAACTGAGAAATGGACCTAATCACATAACTTTAACCTTGATCACTGATCACTTGCTCATATTTAAGTATAGGCAGTGGTTATTTTGCAGGCTCTAGGTAAGGTTAAGCCAATTTTGCCAGTAAAAAAACGATTTTGTTTAGATATGCAATTCAAAGAACTGACTATCATTTCAAAAGCAAATTTAATTTAAACATTTTCTATTTTGAAGCTATTTGATTGATTTTGTTAGATTGTATAAAGTTAATAAAATGTTTCGCTGAGCGCAGCCTGATATGACCGCAGAGGTCGAACCCTGAACAGTTGGGGCAAATTTGGACACAATATTCAAGCTTGATACTGTCTGAATTTGGATTGTGATCAAATTTTTGACATAATATAGGTTTCTGACACAAAATAAATGTGGTCAAAGATCTTACAAATCTATTGCGCAATAATGTGCAATTGAAGATTTCTTCTTGAAACTTTTCAAAAATTCGAAATTTAAAAAATTTTGAAAAAAAAATATGAATCCTTTAAAAAAATTGTAAACAAAAAATCCCCCCCCCCCCAACTTATTGAAACTCCCCTTGGAGCAATAACCCCAAAACTCAATCCCAGCCTTTCCTTTGTAGTATGGAATCTTGTGGTATAATTTCAGAGAGATCCATACACTTAAACACAAGTTATTGTCTTGAAACTAGAAAAATGCTTCTTTTTGGCCCCTAATTCCTACATGTTTGGGACAATTAACCCCAAACTCAATCCCAGCCTTCCCTTTGTTATATGGAACCTTGTGGTACAATGTCTGAGAGATCCATACACTTACACACAAGTTATTGTCCGGAAACTAGAAAAATGCTTGTTTTTGGCCCCTTTTTGGCCCTTAACTCCTAAACTGTTTGCCCCATAACCCTTAAAATAAATCCCAACCTTCTACTTGTGGTATTAAACATTGTGGTACAATTTCAGAGCAATTGAAATACTTATACCCAAGTTATTGTCCTGAAACTTGCTTGTTTTTGGGCCCCTAATTCCTAAACGGTTGGAACCATCATCCCTAAAATCAATCCCAACCTTCCTTTTGTAGTATTGAACCTTCTAAATAAATTTCATAGAGATCCATTCACTTAAACTAAAGTTATTGTCTGGAAACAAATGTGTCTTCGGACGACGACGACATCATACCATTATATGATCCCAAAAATTTTTTTGCTGTCGTATAAAAATCAAATTTATATTCAATGAGATTTTCAACTTTTATTTTTCTACAACCTACAGAAAATCTAAGATTTTATTCTTCTGCATACATGTAGCATTAGACTGTGGCTGATTTTAGAAGTAATTTCAACAACTTGTTTTGATATGATCTCAATGCTACACATGGATGCTCAATATTTATATTTTTAATTCTTTTTAAAAATTCTTATTTTAACTTGGACTCATTAAATTGTTTTGAGCAATTATATGTATCTAAAATATTGTTACAGTTATCTTATTTAACTATATGAGTAATAATTTGATTCTTTTATGTTCACAATGCACATTTTCGTAGTACTTTTCAAAAGTAAGTATTAAAATTAACTGTTTACAAAGAACCGGCAACAGCAAATAACAAATTCACTATATGAGGGGGTGGACAGGGGGAACCCTTCTAATCCTTCCGCCCCCGCCCCCTCCCCTTCTTCCACCTCCCGCCCCTATCTCCAACCTCCCACTTTTAGAATCTTTTTTTCTCTCCCACCTATTTTTTGTCTCCCACCACCCACCCACCCCCCCCCCCCCCTTCCTCCCACCTCCCTCAAAAGCTGTCCACCCCCTCCATTATTGCCAGTGCTGGCAAAATTCAAGTGGCCTTACAAACCATTTCCTTTGGCTCAACAAAATTATATTAAGATACAAAATGGCCCTTCTAAGTAAAGAAGGTGTAATTAATTTTCTTCTTTTACTCTTCATTATTACAAAAAAATCTTTATTTAGAGTCAGTATAATCATTGATAACATATAAGCTTTATAGAGCTTTTAACCAATTACATGTACATACAAACATCAAGAGTATGTGAGAATGTTTGGGTCTTTAGGCAGAGCAAAACAGTGTTACAAATGACACCAACCAAAGGTCACATGCACTCTTAGTTTAAACTGAGACTACTATAACAATATAGTTGTCTCAGGTTTAAAGTACATAAATAAACATTTCGAAAATTTAATGACACAAACTTTCTGCTATGAATGAATTCAATTCAGTTCATAAGTTCAATCATCAAAGACATATATACATATGTCTTTGATTCAATTAAATGTCATATTAAATTGACGAATTTGTCGTGATTCACAAAAAAAAACCCGCGAACAACAAAATTCTACCATTTCAAGTGACATTAGTCGATTTGTATCTTTACAATGCACACAACTATTCTAGCATTACGCTCATATACTGTGAAATTAGTGCATTCAATAATTAGCATAGGTTGAAATTTAAACTAATTACCTGTACAAGACAGCAACTGGTGCGTGGAGCACGTGCTCGTTGTTTACAAACATCAAATAATCCTTGCGCTGTCTTACTCCATTCCACACAAGAAAAAAAATAATGCGTTATATACCCAATCATAAAAGCAAAGGAAGTTAATTATTTGAATCAAATGTAGATATTTTATTTCAGCTAATTAATTATTCAGTCTAAATTAATTGCAATTCTGTTGCGCATGCTTCAATTAACACGTTGAACAAGTATGCCGGGAAAATGTGTATTGCCGGAAGTTGAATACACACATGTTAATTTGACAACTCAACATCAGAAACTGACGATTTCCACATTTTGCATTGTTGCACATTCTAAATCGGTAAATGCTGCACATTGACAATTCGTTGAATGAATCCTTACATTTTATTTTTTAATGATTAACTAAACAAAGGACAAATGCATTATATAACATGATAATTATGCATCAGTAAAAAAAAAGGGGGGACCTATGTCTGTGAAATTAGCATTCAACCGCAACTTTACCACAGAATATACAGAATATAGAGATTAACATTTACATTTCAATTTTTGAAATTTCAAACGATATTGCAACATACAAATCCATATTATTTTTCAAACTGCTGGAGAGACACTTGATTCCTAAATTTCTTCACTGTTCTGGTCTGAGACTACACTAACTGTTATAGTAGTCTCAGCACTGGTTGAGATTGGCTTGTAATTGTTTTAGCTTTACATACTTGTCATTTGGTCTATTGGAGGAAAGTTGATTCATTGGCAATCGTAACACATCTCATTTAATATTTTTATAAGATAATTTACACACACTTTTGTTATCAGCATGTATATTTCTTGTATTTTGTTCTAAAGATTCAGAACAAAGATAAGGGGAAGATCATTTGATATTCTAGGGGACAGGAGGATTTTTTGCACATTGACTAATCATTTTCATCTGTCACTATCCATGCTTATTATGTTTGTGGCAAACTTTTGTACACAACTGTTTCCTGCATTTTGTACGTGTTGCAGAATGTTCAAATGTTATTTATTTTCAGCTCTTACATAGGCCAGGATATTCAATTTCAAAATCTCCCTCCCCAGAAAATCATAATAATGTCACTATGCACATGACATCTTCAAAATTTTAGTTATATAATGATACATCCTGAACTGAAATGTAGTTGAACCATGGCTTCCAAAACAGTTGTATTGTCCAGACAAGTGCAAGAGATTATATTCTGGTCTGGTTGTGCTGAGTCATAATTAAGTAAAAAATTGAGTTTATCCAATCTTTTTGACCTGACCTCTTGCTTGAACAGTCACACATTTCCGGTCATAAAAGTGACACGATGAATAAGAACTATAAAAACAAGCCCTGCTTTGATAACCCCTCATTACAAACAAGGTTAGTACGTTGTCTGATAACTGAAGTTGGGATCCTCAGATCTATTCACGACTAAATGAGCAATTAATGACTAATTACTTTTTACCCTTTTTACCCAAAATGTTGAGCTCTACCTATTGTCCTGTTGTGTCAAAACTGTCAGACAATTCTTCAGTATCACTATTTTGCGGGCTGCGGGTTGCGGGTTGTGGGTTGCGGGCTGCTCTATTTCATTAAATTACAAAGTTACATAAAAATCTAAATACTAATTTTCCTTTACAGGTTTAACGTTAATGAAGAGCTGTGGCATGAGCGCATGATACGCCCGTCGCTTTTTCGATGAATAAAGTTCCATAACTTCTAAATGTCATATCAGAAATTTATAAAAACTAAAGGAAGGTTATTTCAATAGATATAAACCAGTCACCAAAGTTTCATGAAAACTGCTCAAAACATTCTTGAGTTATTGTCCGAAAACTGGAACCCCCCTTTTTTTAATGAATAAAACCACATCACTCGGAAATGTAAAATGTAAAATTTATATAAATCGTAAGGGAACTTATAGATATAAACAATTCGCCAAACTTTCATGCAAATTGGTTAAAAAAAAGGGAAAGAAATAAAAAACTATCAAATTTTGTTAAAAATAATTGAAAGAATATTAAAAGAAGATGACTTTAGTCCAGATGATGAAAATAAAAAAAAATAAAGTATTTCTGTATCACAAATTTGAAAAAAAATATACATTATTTTATTTTGATTTAAACCTTTATTTGTTTCTCCAGTTTATTAAGACATATTGACTGACCATAGAAATGAAACATTAAAATAGTAAATTTTGAACTTAAACAAATTGTATCTGACAATATATATATATTATTCGTCTTAACAACACGTCACTGCTTCAGACGTACTTATTATATATATATTCCAAATACCGTTTCGATTCCTAACATCACTGAAGAGACATTAATTGCCGAAATCCGGATATGGTGTACAAATTTTTGCACCTCATGTTTGCGGTATACCATCTTTTCCGCAAGTTTATTGTTTTCTGTTTGGTATTAAATTATAATAATTATATATATAAACCAGTTTTTGGACAAAAACTCAAGAATGTTTTGAGCAGTTTTCATGAAACTTTGGTGACTGGTTTATATCTATTGAAATAACCTCCCTTTAGTTTTCAATTTAGACTTATATATATATATATATAATTGTAAACATATAACTATTGACTTATGCGATAACTTTTCTTTTCTTTCTTGTAAAGACTTTGTATTCACTGTATGTTCTATGGCTTCTCTTTCATTAAGTTTTGGTACTTTATAAAATTATTTCATTTTTATTTTAAGGATGAAAGGTCTTTTTTATATATATGCAAAGGGATGCTGAATTGCACATAACTATTACATCTCCTTTACTTTTATTTAATGAGTTTGGACAGAAGAACATAAATCCCTCAATTGAAACAATATCAAACAAGTTATATAAAATTTTGTCTGAAGAATCTGTCACTAAAACCAATAAATCCATCCTAAAATTAGATGGTTCCATTCACACAATAAATTTCTGACCTTAAAAATTTAGTAAATCTGGCTAATTATCTATAGGTTTCAATTAAAATCATGTTTTATCTAAAGAAAAGGAGAAAAAGAAGAAACACAAACAAATAGGAAGAAAAGTGATAATATATCCTTAATATAACAATCTATAACAACACAAAGCAATGTGTTATTGCACATAAATAGTTTAAGGTCTGTATGCCAAATGTATGACAAATATGAGATGATCTAGAATCATAGTAAGATAAAATCTTAGCAATCTTTGGACACTTTTAAATTACTTGAATTATTAAAAAAATTCTGTTCAAGTATGATCATTATTTTCATTATCACACTTAATTCAGGGAAATTTTAAGAAAATTATGTAATTTCTTCCTGAAAAGTTACTTTTCGTACACTTTAAATAGTGTCATTGCTTTGTGTGATAAAAGCACTGGCCTAGCTGGTTAACAATTTTTACTTTTTATCAATTCTATAATAAGTGATATTTTTGGTTTTGATATATCTATTTATTTTCTGATATATTGGTATAATAAATGACCAGCAATAAATCATTAAAAGTCTGTTAATAATAATACACATTCTTACACAATTTTTTGAAATTTCACAAATATAACCTTTTACAAGTATATACAGTCATGACAGTGTTTTGGTGATTTTTTTTTTCTTCCCTATTTATTTTTCAACTGACTTATTAGATCGCAACCCGCAGCCCGCAACCCGCAGCCCGCAACCCGCAACCAGCAAAATATACACACTCACAATTCTTATAGAGGTATTGCCCTAAAATGATGAATTTTACCATTTTTTTTTTCATTTTTGAAAACTAATAGATAGAGAAAAATTGTATTTAGCAACACAAGGTCTTCAAATCAGACAACATGGCCGAAATCATCAGCCATCTCCTTATTAGAATTATTGCCCTTTAAGGACAATTTTACCATTTTTTAGTTCACCTGGCCTAAAAGGCCAAGCTTTTCTCATCACTTGGCGTCCGTCGTCGTCGTCGTCTGTCGTTAACTTTTACAAAAATCTTCTCCTCTGAAACTACTGGCCAAATTTAACGAAACTTGGCCACAATCATTATTGGGGTATTTATTTTTTAAAAATGTGTCCGACGACCCCGCCTGCCAACCAACATGGCTGCAATGGCTAAAAATAGAACATAGGGGTAAAATGCAGTTTTTGGCTTGTAAAATTCTCTTAAACTAAAGCATTTAGAGTAAATCTGACATGGAGTAAAAATGTTCATCAGGTTGAGCCCTATCTGCCCTGAAATTTTCAGACGAATCAGACAACCTGTTGTTGGGTTGCTGCCCATGAATTAGTAATTTTAAGTAAATTTTGCAGTTTTTAGCTCACCTGGCCCAAGTGAGCTTTTCTCATCAAACAAACACACAAAGAGAAAACAAAACATCTAACAAAAAATGAAGATGACTGACCATACTCTACCAAACGAATAGGAGTGAATTCAAATGTTCTGGACGAGAAAGCAATTTCTGCTTCTTAAGATATAAAATGTACTTGTCCTATGCATATCTATCTCTAATCCTTACATATTCTATGCAGGCACTACTATGCACTCACCATATGTAAATGCTTTGTGCAAAGAAGAACATATTATATGTAATATTTTTATTCTATAAATCAAAAGAAATAATGAATGAATTTAAAGCTTAATTACAAAAACAATGATTAAAAAAAATAGAAATATATCACAATATTAAAAACAATTGCTTATTAGTGAAAAAAGCAAAACTTAACAAAATAGGAATGTAAAATAAAAATAAAATTTATGAAAGAGATACCAAAGGGACGCAGACGCAAAACAAAGAAAACCACAGCTTTGGCATTATCTTGAAAACTATAAAAGATGGATTGAACTTTAAATGATAAAAATGATTAGCAAGATAAGATCTACAATCAAGTCAAATTTTGCTTAAATAGTTCGTAGACTCTTTATAGGAGTGATTGCCCTTAAATGAAGATATTTACCATTTGTAGTGTTTTTATACCACCGCAAAAAAAATTTGCGGTCATATATTGGTATGATGTTGGCATCGTCATCGTCGTCCGGAGACACATTAGTTTTCGCACTCTAACTTTAGTTTAAGTGAATGGATCTCTATGAAATTTTACCGTAAGGTTCAATACCACAAAAGAAAGGTTGGGATTGATTTTGGGGGTTATGGTACCAACAGTTAAGGAATTAGGGGCCAAAAATAAGCATTTTTGTAACTTCCAGACATAACTTGTGTGTAAGTGTATGGATCTTTATGAAATTGTACTACAAGGTTCCATATCACAAAGGGAAAGCTGGAATTGAGTTTGGGGGTAATTGCCCTAAACGTTTAGGAATAAGGGGCCAAAAATAAGCATTTTTCTAGTTTCCAGACAATAACTTGTGTTCAA